ATGTAAGCCCTGCACAACTGCTTTTCTTTTAATAATCAAGTTCACTGGCACTGGACTTACTTAGAAAGAAAGTGATTCTAGAAACATCAGCGAAGGGGAAATCAGAAGGGATATTTTAGAAAGAGGTGAGGTACTTCCCTAGCTTTCCAGAGTATGTTCACCCAGCCGGTCACGGCTCGATTCCTGGTCAGGGCACATGCCTGGGGTTGTAGACGTGCAGGAGGCAGCCGATCAATGATTCTCTACCATCATTTATGTTTCTATCTCTCACTCTCTCTTCCTCTGTGAAATCAATAAAAAAATATGTATTTTTAAAAAAGAATATGCTCTTCTCTTCTTGGCTCACTTGATACAGAGACGCCAAGGAAGAAAACATCCTCTCCTCTCAAAGCTTGGCAGTCAGGGCCCTGGAACTGTAATGCTTGAGAGAGCCTAAGGGATCTCCTGCAGTCTGAACCAACCTGTTCCTCTTATAAATAAGGAAACTGCATGGCTTTTGAAAGGCCACAGGAAATAACAGGCAGAACTGGGACACAAGAGTGTTTAAATAAGGAAACTGCATGGCTTTTGAAAGGCCACAGGTAATAACAGGCAGAACTGGGACACAAGAGTGTTACTCACTCAAGCAGTGGCTAAACTAGAGTGTCACTTCACAGGGAGCCAACCTCCCTGCCATTTTTGCTGGTGCTGCCCTTTCAGAAAGAGCCCATGGAGCCCCCGATGCTGGGCTGTCTGCCACAGGAGTACCACTTATTTCAGGGGCTTCCCACCATCCAATCAGAAAAAACAGCAGGCGTGAAGCAACGAAGGGGAAGGCAGAACAGAACTGCGCATTTCTGTTTCGTTTTGCTTGTAGTGCGTCCTCTATCCACCTCAATATTAAGTTAAATGCTGACATGTTTCCAGGGAATGTTTTACTAATAAGATTTCATTGTGATTTTTAAAAAGTGCTGCCCTAGCACTTTGTTTCCTTATAATCCCGCCTTTCCTCAGATTTAGTTGTTTAGCCTCTAGAGCAGTGGTTCTCAACCTGTGGGTCGCGACCCCTTTGGCGGTCGAACCTTTCACAGGGGTCGCCTAAGACCATCCTGCATATCAGATATTTACATTACGATTCATAACAGTAGCAACATTACAGTTATGAAGTAGCAATGAAAATAATTTTATGGTTGGGTCACAACATGAGGAACTGTATTTAAAGGGCCAGAAGGTTGAGAACCACTGCTCTAGAGCGAAGAGTGCAGTGCTTCGCATACATTGTAGCTGCTCAATAAAACGTTTATGCTGTCGATGTCAGTGTTTTTATTTTCATGTACCACAGCAGGAAAGGTTCAGCAATGAAATAAGTCTTTGCAGTTTGTAAAAAGTAACTCCACAGCTCAATCGTCGTGACTTACAAACACTGGCAGTACCTGTCCCAATTATATTATAGAATGTTTTGGCCCGAGAAACGAACAAAATAGCATCAGACCTAAAAACAAGAGTAGAAATTCATTTTGTTCTGCTATGTCTTTTGCTCATTAGAAGTTTGTGTTTGCTCTACGGACTGCAAGAAAATAATCATGTTACTGGCGCTACATCATGTTAGACATAGTCATGCTCTGCATAACGTTTCGGTCAATGCCACCATATATATACGATGGTGGTCCCATAAGATTCTTGTAAAGCTGAAAAATTCCTATTGCCTAGAGACATCGTAGCCTGGTAATGTCATACCACTGCACATGACTCACATGTTTGTGGTAATGCTGGTACAAACAAGCCTACTGCGTTGCCAGTTGTATAAAAATATAGCACATACGACCATGTCTAGTACATAATACTTGAAAATGATAATGAACGAATATGTTACTGGTTTACATATTTACTGTCCTACACTTTTATTGTTATTTTAGAGTGTAGTCTTTCTACTCAGGAAAAATAAAAGTTTGAGTAACAGTATGCTGCATCACACAGGCAGCAGCCCTCACACCTTTCATGTTTATTGTACCTCTTGATTGCATCATTTCCTCTTGTGCTTGATTTAATCTCATGTTGTTTTCTACAGTAACATGCTGTACTTAAAAAGAACCAGTATAGTAAGTACTCACTTAATCTCACCCATAGCTTCTTGGAATTGAAGTGAAATGACGTATAATGAAACCAACTTTACTGTAGGTTAATTGATACAAAGAAGAGTTAAAAGTTCCTATTTAAGCCCTAGCTGGCTTGGCTCGGTGGATAGAGTGTTAGCCTGCGGACTGAAGAGTCCCAGGTTTGATTCCAGCCAAGGGCACATGCCTGGGTTGTGGGCTCGATCCCCAGTGGGGTTGTACAGGAGGCAGCCCACCAGTGATACTCATCATTGACGTTTCTATCTCTCATTCTCCCTTCCTCTCTGAAATCAATAAAGAAATATATATATATACATATAGTTCCTATTTAAGCATTTCATCAACATTATAATGGAATAACATTGAATAAACGACATTATTCAAGAACCTACTGTACCTGGGTCCCCACCCACAGGCAAGTACATCAAAAATCTAGGGAGGCAGGGTTGGGTATCGGTGCTATTTCTAACGCTCCCCAGATGACTCTCATGTGCAGTCAAGAATTTTGAACCCTTGTACTCAGTATGCAGGCATTAGATAGGGAAGGAAGACCAGCTGGCCAGGCCTGGCAGAGAAGAGCTAAGAAGTCATATGCACTTGTGATTGACTATCAGAAGCTCATGGAGAACATCCACAAAGCACTACTGAGCGATGCATGCTACTCACCAAACATTCATTAAAATATTATATACAAGTTTGACTTTTGACTACCTATCATAAAGAGAAGAGAACTTAGAGAAAATCAATCCATATGATGAAAGGGAATGAAAAGAGCAAACTATATTACAAAGTGATTCTGGAACTGGGTCTACATCAACTTCAAAAGAAAACATCAGTGATATTTCAACAACTATTTTTTAAAATGGTAAATAAATCTTCTTGTGTCACATGGTGCAAGTTATAGTAGCTACTTTCAGAAAGAGTATTTGACAATAATTTACACGGTGCTAACATTTACTGAATGTAAGTATATATATTTTAAAGAAATGAAAATATTCAGACTTGTCAGAAACCTCTCAGATTTTAACCCACAGAGTATTCTTTTTGATGACTTTGTGTGGGTTTCTAGAGAAACAACTTGATAATCTATTACAACACCAACTGTACGGTATGTAACCATTTTCCTTCCTCTTTGCCAGCTGGGATGCCAAACTTTCTCTGACATTTGCAGCCCCGATGTTAGCCCCAGATAAGACAACCTTTGCTTCAGTACAAACCCAGGGGTCAGCAAAAGAAACCAGTCTCTCTTTCAGAATACCTGAAGAGTTCAAAATGTTGTGTAAGAATTGAAATGTATTAGCATTTCCATTTAGGACTGTTGTCTAGCCCTCCTGGTGGTACAGTTTATTTATTACATCATGTCTTTCCTACTGTCAGGGTCAGGGAAGGCCACCCCAAAATATCGTACAATAGCATATTGATAATTTTGAATTAAAGTTACTTGACAAGCAGTCAATGCAAGAAGGGCACACGGAATCTCCCTTCTCTCCTTGAATGCAGGAAATAAATCTCCTCTATGAAAATTCTTCTTGCTACAGTAGACTGAGACACACTTATCCTTAGAGCTAAGGAATTCAGGGCTACATGGCTTGTTAATTCTTTATTAATTCATTAATTCTGTATAAACAAAACTTGTTATTTCTTTACTAATTTACTATTGAAGCCCAAACTTTGGTTAGATTCTTCACTAAGGAATACACAAACCTAAGTTTCTTTGTCCTGTCTAATGTATTGTTTCTTTGTTTAAAAGGCATAAAGAGCTGGCTGGTTCATAATTTCTCAGAGTATCATTTATAACCTCCCACATGCACATATTAAATTACTTTTCCTCTGTTAATCTGGTCTTATGTCATTTTTATTATTAGTTCAGCCTTAAGAACTCAAGAGGGTCAAAGAGGGGATTTCTCCCCTTCCTCAACACTACTTTCTACTGTTATGATGCAATGTAATATAAACAAAGTTTACCTTTGATTCTCCCAGTACCCAATGACACCTAGATTTAGCCAGTGTTCTAAAATATTAGTTTAGTTTAATAATATGAATACATGAAAGAATAAATGCATACATGAACCAAGAACCTCACTGGTATGTTATTGTGTTCGTTACCACACAAATCAAGTTAGTATGTTTATTTTTCACTTGTTCGTCATTCATTCATTAATTCAGCTTTAACTGAAAATCTACGTATTCTGTACTGTGCTGAATGGTCAAAAGGAATGGCCCCTATTCTCTAGCAGCTAAGAACCTAGTGAGATATCAACAGAAGCAATTCTAGAAATTTAAGTGCACAACCATATAGGTTGATAAATATGTTGAACACATCCATTTAATTGATAAGTAAATGCTAAACCAATAGTTAATTTGAAGGACCAATCCCACTAATAAACAGAAATTAAGAGCATTTGAAGGCTATGAGTGAGAGGGATTTTTGATATCTTATATTTGGCTACGTCTAGGATGAGAGAAGTGTTACATGGAGCAATCCAGGAAGGGGATGGACTTGGGGAATGACTCACTGACAGGAAACAGGTGGGGCTGTGGGTAGAAGAAAATTCTGAGTACACTAAGTAAGGCCTCAGAGAAGGCTTGAAGGAGCCATGGGCTGCTTAGATTAAGGTGTTCTTGAGAATCTTATCCACAAGCAAAGCAGAGGGACAGGCAATAAAATGAAGAGAAACCAAAGAAATTAGGTTATCTGAGGATGTACCTTAATTAAAAAAGTTTTAATTTGGTTAAATCCTGACCTGTCTTTAGTATAATTTTCTTAGATGTTCTTAAAAGTACTTCATAGGAGACGATGGTACTTTTTAACACTATCCCAAGTCAGACTCTTTCTCTTCATACAACAAAAAGGAGGGGGAAAGACCCTCTTCTGAATAAATATGTTAAAAACTGGAATATACATACTCATCCTTGTCCACCTTCTCTCGAAGCTTCTTTAGTTGTTTATGTTGGCCGTACTTCACATTTTGCATTATGTTCTCAAAGTATTCATCTTCCTTGTACTTGTACTATATTATATAAAAGATTTTGGTGAAAATATTAAAACCAGTATCTTCAAAACTTTTGCTAAAAATATAGAGGACATTTTCTTAAATTCTACCTGTTAATAAAGTTAACAGAGAGCATTAAAACTTACCAAAGAAGGATTTAGTTCCAATTAGTCTAGTTCTATATTACAGGTCACTGTTGCTGTGGCTGAATCACCACTTCAGTGTAATTAATCACATGAAACGAAGTATCTGGCAAGCCTTACCATATTGATATTAATCCTTATATACCGGATGTGATAACAGCATATTCTTGTTAGTACCTACGATGGGCCAGGCAGCATTCTAAGAATATTTTAATAATCTTATAAAGATGGGCTATTATCACCACTTAAAAGTTGAGAAGCCCAGTCTGGCTGGCGTAGCTCAGTGGTTGGGCATCAACCCATGAACCAGGAGGACACGGTTCGATTCCCAGTCAGGCCACATGCTTGGGTTGCAGGCTTGATCCCCAGTAGGGGGTGTATAGGAGGCCGCCAATCAATGATTCTCTCTCATCATTGATGTGTCTATCTCTCCCTCTCCCTCTCCCTCTCTGAAATCAATAAAAATATGTATATTTTTAAAAGTTAAGGAAACAGAGATACAGACAAGTTCACTTGTGGAGCTAGGATTTGAACCTACACAGTCAGCTTTGAGTCTACAGTCTTAGCCACTAGGCTCCTGCTACAAGGGTCCCCAGGACTCCCATGCTACAGCCAGCTAATTTAAAAGAAACAATCAAGCTTTTCTGCAAATGGAAAAGGATGAGAGAATACTGTGGCTTGCAAATCCCACATCAGACAAGTAATCAATGGGTTAGGAATCACTGTCATCTCCAATTTACGCAAGGATTCCCTTATCATCACCAGGGTTTCAAGTAGTTGTGGTGACCACAGATTAGTAACAAGAACCTCAGCTAAGTCTGAAATAAGTACTGCAGTGACTTTAATCAATTCTCTTCTCTTACCACTGTTACATTACCAAAGGAGAATACAACAATCTCTGGTTCTCAGGTATTTTGTTTGCTTTTTAAATAGAGAATGCATGATCTAGCTTATCCAGTGGAAGGAAAATTAAAAAGTGGGTGGGAACCTGAAGATTTGACTTTTCAGGCCTGTAAGACGAGATAAGGAGCCTGAGTGCTGCCCGCTGTTCGAGCACTTTGATGTCTACCTTTGATACTCTTTAAGTTTGAGATTCTTTTTTTTTTTTCAGCCCTCACTGGAGGATATTTTTCCATTGATTTTTTGAGAGAATGGAAGAGAGAGGTAAAGGCAGAGAGAAATATCGATGTAAGAGAAACACATCAATTGGTTGCCTCCTGCACGAGGCCTGACCAGTACCCAGGCCTGGGAGGAACCTACAACCAAGATTCGTGTCCTTGACCGGAATTGAACGTGGGACCCTTCAGTCCGCAGGCCAATGCTCTATCCACTGAGCCAAAGCAGCTAGGGCTACCCTTGATACTCTAAAGGACGTCAGATTTTTCTTCTTAAAATGGAATATATGGAAGCCAAAATAACAGATGCGGGACAGGCCAATGAAACAAAAGGCTAAAACTGAAACAAACACAGATCTGTCTTCAGTGCTAAAGATTTTTATAATAAAACCTATGGGCCCAGTTGGCGTGGCTCAGTAGTTGAGCATCAACCTATGAACCTGAAGGTCACTTTTCGATTCCCAGGTCAGGGCACACGCCTGGGTTTCCGGCTTGATCCCCAGCAGGAGGCAGTCAATCAATGAATCTCTCTCATTGATGTTTCTAGCTCTCTCTCTCCCTCTCCCTTCCTCTCTGAAATCAATAAAAGTATATTTAAAAAAATAATAAAACCTATGGTTTTAGGCTACTTCACATAATTTTTGGCACCTGATAGCTAAAAATAACATTGCCACCAGCCCCAGGTGTCATTAGCCCAGAGTCTTAATAGAGACTTACCTCCTCATATTCTTTATTCAGTTTGTTGTCATCTGAGAGAATGTCATCAGGATAGCCAATTCTTTCTTTAATTGCCAAGGCCTATGAGAATTGTAATATTGAATGTGAGGATGATTACATAACTTTCAAATGCAAACACTGTCATTTGCCCATGAATATCAACTGAATAACTTGATCCATATTGTTTACAAAAAGAGTATCAGACAACATTTAAGAAAAAATATTTGAAGTGGCTTCATCCTGGGGCTCAAAAGAAACAAAAAGTTGGTCTGAAATTTAGCTTCTAATGCTCTGTCCTCACAGACTGCAGCTTTCCCAAGAAAACCAAAATGAAAGCTGACAAGTCGGCCAATTTATAGGACGAGTATTACTTAGAGCTTCCATTGTAGCAGCTTATAATTGTCTTTCCACATTACCGATTTGGCTGAGGAAACAGATATAGGCTTATATGTTCATGCTAATATTCTTCCTGAATATTGTTTCTTGGAGTTCGTATGTTCTACCTCAGTCTCCAAGGCTGTGTGCCTATCTTCTCAAAGTTAAATGAATGACATTAATTAAACAAGTAGCAAACAAGAGTTTTCCTTGTTATACAAGCTCATGTTTACCTCTTGCTTACTGCCATTTCTAATTTTTATGTTTAGTATTTTAAAGTTATTTACTTATTTTTATTATTTCATGATTACCCCTTGTTTACTACTTGCTATTTTTATTTTTTTATTTTCTCAAAGATATCTGACTTTTGATGCTATCATATCACATTTGCTCTTGAATAATTTAATTACTTTAAATTTGTCATGGGGAATTAAGCCTGTATGTCTGAGTTATTTGGTTTGCCATCAAAGGGATGTGGTTTTGTTACCAATCTGTTTCATAAGCCCAGGATTTCCCCAGTGGCTGGGACAGGATATGTGTCACTAAGTCAGTTAGGCCACACCCACTTTCTTGTAGGTTTCCACAAATTATTAATCAGCCCCCTCTCATTAGCACTTTATTTTCTAGAACACATTTCCCAAAAGAGTGTTCTAAGGGACAGAGACTCTATTGAAATAAAAGTTACTGCATAAAAGTAATTTATTGTCAAATACTTTGGATAAATACTGTGACAAAAACATTAAGCAGGCTTCTTTATTGCAGGACTTCTTACAGTAAAAATTAGGTTATTATGAGTGTCCCAGAGGAGGAGATAATTTGTCTCTTTATTCATTCAATATATATTCAAGGGTCTACAATGAGCCCAGTACTTTGTAAGGGGCTGAGGCTTCAATGCTAGGCAAAATTTCTGCCCCCCAGAGAGCTTACTGTAAAGATCAATGATAAGCAATGAAATGAGAATTTACTCTCAGTGTGATGTATGATGCCATAGAATCACACCCTCAGAGCATGTAACCTAGACTAAGATGAGATCAGAGAAGACTTCCTACAGGCAGTGTTTCCTGATGTCTTTTGACCAGGGGACTCTCTTTTGTGGAACAACTTGGCACCTGTTTTCTGACACCACCTTGGGAAATGATGATCTAGAACAATTCAATTGCCTACATCAAACAGGACCATGTCGCAGAGAGCTAGAACATGAATGAAGCAAATCCAGCCCACATTTCTGAGGACTTTGCCAGAATAATGAAAATATAAGGGGGCTTAAAAATCTAGACCTAACCCACTCAGGGCTCTGTGAAGCTGAAAAACATAGTCCTTTCATGTGATTTAATCCAAAACAGAACTACACTGCAGCTTGACTCTCTTATTATATTAGGTTTTTGAACTCCCTCTGTTATCAGTTCAAAATATGGTCTGTTCTTCTTGCCACCTTAACTACAGACAAATAATCAAGTTGCATGTGAATACTGCTCATAAAGCACATAGTTGTCACTGGACATGTTGTTCCTTTTAGTTTTATATAGTTAGCAAGACAAATGACCATAGTAAATTTAAACCTAAAATTTCCTTAGAAATATCACCTTTCTTCATATGCAAAATATTAAAAGTCCCTATAAAAGAGACAGGTCACCTTATAAAACTCAAAAATTGCACCATCTTACATTTGCTTGAACAGAAATACAGTATTTTTTTCTTCCTAGGTTTTATAAAAAACTAGAGGAGGCATGTTTTAAAAAATTTAGCTAGAAATTTGCATTACAAATTGAGGGCATATTTTTGACATTGTTTGAGGTCTTTTAGGTATATTTCTTAAAAGGAGAAAAATTATGAACCACTGATAACATCATTTCATTCTTTACTTGCTAACATAAGATTTTCCTCTTGTTTTCTGAAGTCTTCCTTTAAAAAATGTGGAGATCTTTCAAAGTTTTGAACTGAACATGGAGATTAGAAGTTGATTGCAAAGAAATAAAAAATGGAAATCATAGAAAAATAAATTTATCCATAAAAAAAGTTCCTGAAAACATTACATTCTGAAGGAACTTGGTTTTATTTTATGCAATTTTTTTTTTCTCACTGCCTTTGATCAGGTGTTTATTCAAATTCTTAAAGCAATTCTTGATTATCTGTTTTCCTGAATTGTCTTAAAAATTGGCATTTCTTTATAAAGAATTTATTTCTTTGATAGTTAGCCCTGCCTTGCTTTTTACCTTTTCTTCAGCTCTCTTTTTTGTTTCAGCATCCATCCAAGTCAGCTCATCTAAAGTCTGAATAAAAACTTCCCGGATCTGTGTAATCAAATCCTCAACCTCAAACCAAAAGAACAGAAGACAAATTTAGGCCATTAGTTAATTTTTTATAACACAAATTGAAACAGACAACAGTGGGTGAAAGCCTGGGTAGAAGAGGGGCAGGAACAGGGTGGAAAGGGTAAATGGGGGGCGGGGTGGAGGAGGAAAGGGGATATCTGTAATACTTTCAGCAATAAAGATAAATTAAACTTTTTTTAAAATTTAAAAATAGAGCTATAATCTGGCTTTATGTGATTTAATAATATATTAATAAATATAAATTTATAGGCAGACTATGACCTAAACAAATGGGTATATGTGAAAAATTATATTTTTAAAGCAACATTGTTTTTATCAATACTTATGATTAAATAGGTATTATATATATACATTTATCAAAAATCATGTTAAGAATAAACCGGTTTCCATTATCATAAAAGAAGAATTAACATAAAATATTACCTATTATTACCATTTGTAATTTAGTAAAGCATGAAGCAGCATTTCAATAGATTATTTCACCATATCTTCAAGCTGCATTGCTTTCATGTCAGTAACAATGAAAAATAGAGTACATTTCTTACACTTCAACTAAACCTGGGTTTATTTTCTAGGTTTTTAAGAAAAACCCTAATTCTTAGTCAATTTTGCTAACAGAGGAGTTTAGAAATGACTGTATCACTAGAACATGTGACTGTTTCCAGAACCTACTGCTTTTGGAAAAAGGACAGTTGCCTTTGGATTAAATAATACTAGGATCAGAAACATAACCAGACCCTTGAGAGAGGGAGGATGAGATTTACTGGGAAATAATGGCCAATTATGATTCAGAGGTTACCTGACAATTAATAAAATTTTAGCCCAATTATGGACCATTGTAATTGTCCATCAATGCAAATGAGTGAGTGATAGTGTACTGTGCTGAGAACATTACCACGTGTTTACTGTCTCCAGCAAATGCTGCTTGCACATAAAGCCTTCCCACTGCACTGTCCATGTTCGCGTTGACAAAGTTTGCACAACGTCTCCAAGCTGCTATTTCTGATGTTGTGCCATAAAGGGCCTATGGGAGAGAAAAAGGAAATGGTGTTTGATCAGGAGTAAGACAAGGGAGCATGGTCACAACACAAATCTCACAGGACTCGCTATTCTTTACGTCTCCTAAGTTCTTGCAATATTCACTGGTCCTCCTTACAAGGCACGTTGTCCTGGCCGATGATAAAATGCAATCCAATTGGATTGTTTACTTACATATGATCTGAAAATAAGGTATATTTTCAGTACCTGTCCCAGTAGAACTTCAGGCTACTACAAGTTAACATCCTTCTAGACAGCTTTAGGAAAAAAGCAACCCAAAAAACAACCCTCCCAAACAAAAAATAACGCCGTTACTGCTGCATAAACATAAATGTGAAGTAATGTTCAATAAACATCGTAATGAGAGAAATCTGCTATACAAAAAGGCACATTCCTGTTTGTTGAATGTTTTAGCTGAACTTCCAGCACTTAGAAGAAATCTATGTGTATAAATTTAAGTACCAATAAGGGGACTAACTTAGGTAAGGGAAATTTAGCAAAATACCAATTTGACATTCTTCAATCTTAAAATTGTGCTTGTATTTTCTTTTAAAGGGTAAAAACACAAAATTTCAATCAGAAAGTTATTTCCTTTCCATGACACTAACCAATACTGGACACTACCCATTCGCTAGAATTTCTCCTTTCTCATCTCTCCTGCCTTCGTCCCTCACAACATGACTAAAATGATGATTGTTTAAATGTAGGTACAGCCTAATAAAAGGCCTTAAGGTTGACTCCAGGTAGATGTGTCAGTGGATTGTCCACGTCAATGTACTCCATCTGTGTGTAACTCTAGTGTGCTATGAACACCTGAAAAATCAAGTTAATCGAGATATCCCTGTGATTGTTTTTAATGCTACACAAACACCAAGCCAGTATGTTTGTTTCATGAACTGCTCACATAACCAAATGCATATCCTTCCATGGCATTTCGATCACGATGCCACAGTAGACAAACATAGGATGGCAAAGACCATAAAAACTAGCTTTTCTATGATGGCTTTTCCAGACATCATAGCCTAAACATGGGCAAAATAACCAACGTTCGGCATTTTGTCTCTTGGCCAAGTTCACCACATTCTAGCAGTATACATGGCACCTTCATAACCATGTGTCTCTTTATGTTTTAAGTCTTAAGAAAAGAGAGATTGTATCTTCACCTTGCGGAAAGCATTTCTGGACTCCTTGTAGGTTCTGCTGAGGCTGCTTACAAGATCCATTATGAACCGCCAGGACATTAAATTTTGAAGATCTCTGTATAAAAAAACCCACCACCCAGCAACAAAAAAGATGAGGCTGCAAAGCTTCTAAAGAGTGATATTAAATGTAAACTCTGAGGACATGGGCACTCTCACATACTTACCTGGCAGAGTATTTGGTAAGAATGAGCTTAAGTTTGGTTAAATATTCTGGAGCATAAACAACCACATCTTCCTCACTTGTAATTTTAATATCCACAGTTGACATAATTTCATTTGTGAAATTGGACCAGCTGAATGGCTGGAAAAAAAGCAGGCACAAAACATTCAGTAATTATGAATTTCTCTTCTTGATTCCAACACTCAATTATGTTCAGGGGTCAGACATAGTTAGGGCGTCAGCAGCAGCACAATATAATTATCACAATCTTCCAGTCAGATACTTGTATGGGATTTTCCCTTAATTGTTTCAATTGGTTTTGAATAAAAATTAGTTAGGCAGCATGATTACTTTGATAGAATTAAACCAACCACTTAAGAACAAAAGCAAAGCCTATAAGTGTAGAGAAAATACAGTTGGAAATTAGGCTCAGTGTCATCTTCTTGGTCTAATCAATATAAAATAGAAGAAAATGTTAGCTTTAAAATGTATGCAAAAATTTAAATGGGTATAAAGTGTTTATCTTTTAAAAGTGGGTTTTAATAAACAATCCACCCAGCTGTCGTGACTCAGTGGTTGAGCATCAACCAGGTCACGGTTTGACTCCTGGTTAGGAACATGCCCAGGGTTTTGGGCTGGATCCCCAGTGGGTGTGGGAGACATGGGGGGATGCCCAGGGTTTTGGGCTGGATCCCCAGTGGGTGTGGGGGACGTGGGGAGAGGGATGCAGGAGGCAGCTGATCAATGATTCTCTCTCATTACTGATGTTTCTATTCCTCTCCCTCTCCCTTCCTCTCTGAAATCAATAAAAAATATATTTTTAAAAATAAATAAGTAATCCATTTAACACAGTAATATATCTCTGTGAAGATCCTGCAGTAAATGAAAGCACATTAGTTATAGCAGAGGTTCAATGAAGTTATAGATGCACCACAGAGGGTCCAACGAAGCCAAACAGAACACTGTCAATATAAGGCCCATAGGCATGCAGTTTTACTCTTCAGAGTTGCCAAAAGATGGAAGCTTGTCTTTTTAAAATGGGAATTTTGGTTTTTCAACCACCAGTGGATATAAGGAAAAACAGCAGAAGTGGAGATCATGCACATCTTGCTGAAATGCCACATTTCAGTGCTTAAGAATGTTTACAATTACCAATATTTTAGGCTCTATAGTTATACAGATATGTATATTATATGCTGATCGCTTTCTAAGTATGAAGTGCGATGTTCTTTTCTTGATTTCCTTTGGTGGTTTGGATCATTCTTTCAAAACATACTTATTAGGCACTTTACAGCATGGGTGGATCTGGAGAGCATTATGGTAAGTGAAATAAGCCAGAGAAAGACAATATCATATGATTTCACTCATATGTGAGATCTAATGAACAAAGTGGTCTAACAAGCAAGCTAGAGACAGACTCATAGATAGAAAGCAGGCTGACAGCTGTTGGAGAGGGGAGGGTGACTGGGGGGCAGGGCTGCGGGGGAGAGGTAGAGGGATTGAGCAAAAATGGGGAAAACAAGAGAACAAAACTCATGGACACGGACAACAATGTGGTGGTTGTCCCGGGGAGAGGGCGTGGGGGAGGTGGAGGAGGGTATAGGGGAGATAAATGGTGAAGGACAGACTTCACTTGGGGTGGTGAACACACAATACAGTGTGTAGATAATGTGTTATAGAATTGTGCATCTGAAACCTGTATATTTTGTTAACCAGTGTCACCCCCGATAAATTCAATTTAAAAAGCTCTGTGAGAAATTCCTAACTGGAAAGGTTATGCTTTTTAAAAGTCCTTTTTTATTATAATTATTGCCAAGGCAAATCCATCACTGAATGTAGTCATTTGCAGATTTTCCCATGGATGTTGTTTTATTTCCTGATTGTGTGCCACAACTAATACACAAATACACAAGAATGGCCTCCCAAAGAGATAATTACATACTAGCTAATGAAATTCAACTAAGCAAAAAGATGTCAATTGCTGCTTATAAATGGAATCTATGAAACAGAGTTTTCTTATTTCTTATGTTCTACTTCTCCATTATTGCTCTGAACACCTCGTAGATGCCTTGATAAGAACATAGCAAATTCTATGAATAAATTAATTTTTTTAGCAAAAGAAACCATCAACAAAACAACAAGAAAGCCCACTGCGTGGGAAAACATATTTGCCAATGTCATATCTGATAAGGGCCTAATCGATGTTCTTTTCTTGATTTCCTTTGGTGGTTTGGATCATTCTTTCAAAACATACTTATTAGGCACTTTACAGCATGGGTGGATCTGGAGAGCATTATGGTAAGTGAAATAAGCCAGAGAAAGACAATATCATATGATTTCACTCATATGTGAGATCTAATGAACAAAGTGGTCTAACAAGCAAGCTAGAGACAGACTCATAGATAGAAAGCAGGCTGACAGCTGTTGGAGAGGGGAGGGTGAGTGGGGGGCAGGGCTGCGGGGGAGAGGTAGAGGGATTGAGCAAAAATGGGGAAAACAAGAGAACAAAACTCATGGACACGGACAACAATGTGGTGGTTGTCCCGGGGAGAGGGCGTGGGGGAGGTGGAGGAGGGTATAGGGGAGATAAATGGTGAAGGACAGACTTCACTTGGGGTGGTGAACACACAATACAGTGTGTAGATAATGTGTTATAGAATTGTGCATCTGAAACCTGTATATTTTGTTAACCAGTGTCACCCCCGATAAATTCAATTTAAAAAGCTCTGTGAGAAATTCCTAACTGGAAAGGTTATGCTTTTTAAAAGTCCTTTTTTATTATAATTATTGCCAAGGCAAATCCATCACTGAATGTAGTCATTTGCAGATTTTCCCATGGATGTTGTTTTATTTCCTGATTGTGTGCCACAACTAATACACAAATACACAAGAATGGCCTCCCAAAGAGATAATTACATACTAGCTAATGAAATACAACTAAGCAAAAAGATGTCAATTGCTGCTTATAAATGGAATCTATGAAACAGAGTTTTCTTATTTCTTGTGTTCTACTTCTCCATTATTGCTCTGAACACCTCATAGATGCCTTGATGAGAACATAGCAGATTCTATGAATAAATTAATCTTTTTAGGAGTTAAAAACAAATTAAATGCTTTTATTATCTGACTGTCCAACTTTGATGGCTATATAATGGTCTTTTTGAAGGATTTTCAGTTTAATATTTTCCAAACCCTTTTCTATGATCATTCCCACCATTATTGCATAGCTGCCTTGAAAAGGACTTTTACTTGTAAAATCACCTCTAACTAAATATAAATATAATAGTTTCAAATAGGTTTGTTTTTTTCCTGGTCCTGTTATGAAGTCAGATGGTTAGTGTCATCTAAATTCATGTAGTATTCAATTTCCTTCAATAAGTAAGAAATCATTGAAGTTTAAGAAACTGTATTTCAATGTTAGAAGTTTTAGAAATGGCACAATAAGAGAGTACATAAAACTTGCTACTTACCTTCCCATTGATCTCTAATGAAAAGTTATTTTGGACCTGGGATAATTTCATCTTGTTATAAAGAAGCATTGGATCATTTCGATCTTCAGGTTTAGCTGAAGCCTATGGATTTAAATTTTGATCATTATTTTAGTACTAAGAATTTTTTAGAAAAACATTATATTTAAGGAAAAAAGGAATATGGGATAGGTAAATATACTTTAAGTTCCACTCTATACTTATTTTGTAATTTACTTTATCATATCAAAAAGGAAAGTGAAATTTAAGAGATTTTAAATATATTCAGTAACAATTATCAAGATTTGGCTGTAATATTGACTATAAAAGTTCTCAAAAATATTTTTATATTTTTGAGAATGGCCAAGCCACATAAGCAATATGTGGCCTGCTTCCATCTGTGGTTAATGGCCAGCTCGGTTGTGTCTGTTTCACATTATAATAATTTTTTTGAATATAGTCATCTCCAATTTATCGTGCAAATTCTGTCTCCCCCTCCACCACCACTACTATTATTCAGTGTCCAAGTTATCATTCAGACAGGAAAAAAACCCACCTCACAATGGTTTCTGCAAGAATTTAAAGCAAATAAAACAGAGAAAACTCATGTTTAGGTTGCCAGGTATCTGAGGAATGCTAGCACTTTGTACTTTTGTGACTATGCTCCCATCCTGCCCAAGCAGTTTACTGCTCTATACTCAACCATATCTAGCTTTACTTTTTCCCACTGAATCACAAAAAAAAAGGAGAGAAAGAAATGCAATGACAACCCCTTCATCTCCACCACCCCCACCCAGCTAGTGGCTGAAATGAATTAAACTGGGAATTGTTTATCAGAGACAATGGCTCCCATTTCCCCTTTAGGTCACTTATTTATGCCTTTATTTTCAAAATTATTTATTGAACATCTCCCGCATGCAATAATAAGCTGGACACGGTTAGAGATACACAGGTGATTCAAAGGTGAGTAAGGTACCACCCAGACCTCAGAGTCTAAGAAAAGAGAAAAAATATAGACACAAATAATTCTGAGAGCCAACTATTAAAGAGCTGAGGCTGATCCAAGGAGAGCATGGTCTGGGAAGGTTCAAGTGGTAAAAACCTAGGGCAATAAACTGTTCTCTAATAATTCTGTGTTCAACACAGAGCCACGTGCAACCCATTCAACTTCCATTCATCCTGCTGTAGCTCCAAGCGAAGTCTGGCTCTGACTGGAGATTTTTGGTTTCATGTGGCCCTAGGAAAGCTAAAATTGTCCTCAAAGATCTCCAGTCTTCAAGATTCTGATGGCAGTGTCAAGTCAATGGGATGTAGGAGAGCAGGCTGTTGTTTGCTATGTCAGCAAAAGCTCTGTGGAGCCTAGACTGAAACCAAACTTGGGTTCAATCAATTACCTTGATGTTGCTCCAACAGAATTCACTCACTTGAGACTACAGACCCAGTCAGACAAGAAAATGCAAACTCAGACTCTAAGAGTTCACCTGCCACTAGAGGAAATTCATGAATATACCCTTGGGCTCTGCTGGTAAACTCTTCCTGCGAGATCTCCCCTCCTGAGCTGAGCAGCCTGGCAGTCTGAACTCGGTGACATCACACAGTCATGCAGCCATGTTCAGGGGCTAATATTTCTTAGCCAAGGGATAGAGGTAATCTCTTTAATCACTATATTTTTTTTTAAGGAAAATTGTGCCTATCAAGACTAAAACAGCTTTACTCAACAGTTAGCGATCAAGTATGTCTTGAGTCTCAAGGACATCTCAACAACAGTTTGGCTGTAGTTAGAATTTTGGTATAATCCACGTATAATAGGTAATTAAATGTACCTAGTTTAATATTTGTTAAACTTAGTATGTCTCCTGGATGTTGGAAACCCAGTTTACTATAAAATTTTACAGTTTCAAAGGTCCTCTTAAAGTTAATGATCCTTTGCTAAGCTATGTATTTTTATCACTTGGTTAAAGAGTTGTACCTTTCACCCTTAAAATATAATAGAGAGGGGAAAAAAAGAAAAAGTAGTTAATGTTATTCAGTGTATCAGAGATAATGTGTTTTACATTGGCAATTTCTTTTTCCAATTCCATAACTTTATTCATTTCCAGAGAAAGCTTGTTTTCATCTATGGGCAGTCCTCTTTCCTGACGTATCAATTTGGCCACAGAAATCATAAAATCCACATATGCTGTACAAGTCTGCAAGAAACAAATAACATTAAATTGCTGGCAAACTTTATAAATATACATCACAGTGCTTTAATGTAAAATTTTATTTCCCATTCAATATTAATTTCCGGTAACAGATAAAGCACAATAAAATAGATACGCTTTCCTACATTCTAAAAGAAATGACCTGCATGGATTCTTAGAAAGTCAATGTGCCATATATATGGCTATTCATGAAGAGATGGCCACAAATTCATATTAATATTATCAGGATATCTTTATACCTTTATATCTGTTTCCTCTGGCCAACCAGTATTTCTTTTTTTAAATGAGACTGTGTTCTCATGAGCTCCTCCAACATAAACCTGTGGGTTTTAGTTAATTCCATAGTTAGCTCCCATTACTATGAAATTTATAAGATTCCATAGATTTGGATATCAGCTTTCTTCTAAGAATCCAAGTTCTTTGCATTTTATCTTTCACATACATTTTAACTTTGTGAAGGTAAACTAGTTAAATTATCAAACTTTTATAGAATATATCAATGCCTTCTTCGAGTTCAGAGTGGCATTAACTCCAGGAAATTGAATGCCACTTTCATAAATCTCAACCCATTGCCATTTAGCCATTATTTATCTATCAGCAAGTAAAATAAATGATGATCCCACCTCATGAAAATTCTCTCAAAACCCAAGTTCCCAGCACTAGCTGGATGACAAACAACCAATATTGCAGAAGCCACACAATTTGGATCGATGGGCACTGCTATTCCTCTACTACCTGTTCACAGGGTAGATACAAAGGAAGGCTATCCATTGTTGAACACTTTCACAGTTTCAAGAGAGTTTTATGTCCCTTCTCATTTATTATCAGTGATAGGGCTATGTTATATTCATCTGAATTACAGTGACTCATTAAGAGGATTAAACATAAAACTCATGGAGAGATGAAAATATATTATCAAGCAAGAACCTCAGCAAAATGTACAGTTATTATCAATTTGAAAGTCAAGAGGACACTTCTAAGTAAGGTTTAGATACTGGCATTCCATGACCTTTATTAAACGCTAAGCAAACAGTTCCCTTGGGGAGAGGGCTCTCTTTTCCATGGATACCTCGTGATGCTGGGATGTCTAGCTAGCATTGTCTATGGATTTGACACTCAATAAAACAAACTATTAGATTTTTAATACAGACTCAGCTGTCAGTCTGTGTTAAAATCTAATCACTAAGGTACAAGATAATAGAATGTTTTTATGTGAATTCTTGTGAACTCCATTCTTTTCCTACTCAAAGGTAATCAGAATTCTTGTTTCACTTTGAAATAAACAAATATGTCTGAGTTAACACCTAATGGGACCAACTATTCCAAAATCTAAGCATGCGTGTTTTTTAATTAACTGTATTTCAAATCATATAAATTCATCTGCATTCATCAGGAAATTGCTACTGACTATGAACAAAATGGTAATTTGAATTTTTCAATATCAACCTACTGAGATTGGTTTTCACTCTATGGGATTTTTTTTTTTTAATCAAGTAAGAAAATAATAACAAGAATGCTCTCTTGCACTTTGCTGATTCTGCAAACTGATTCTACTCCAGTAACTTCATTCTTATAGATGTATCTAAAGACTACGGGCCTGGACAGTGTTGCTCAGTGGTTGATCCTTGACCTATAAACCAGGAGGTCACGGTTCAATTCCTGGTCAAGGCATATGCCCAGGTTGCAGGCTTGATCCCCAGTGTGGGGCATGCAAGAGGCAGCTGATCAATGATTCTCTCTGACCATTGATGTTTCTATCTCTCTCTCCCTCTTCCTTCCTCTCTGAAATCAATTAAAATATATTTTTTAAAAAAGACTATGGAACTCGGCCTAAGGTAAGCATAGATGGAGCACTGGCTTCTGTGATGCTTAAATATTTAATACAGCTACATGGAATGTGCTACTTCCTTTAATGAACTTCATTACTTGGCAACTATTCCAATGTGAATGATTGCAGCATGTCTTAATATCTTGATTATCTTTTCCAGCTTCCAAATTTATATAGGAGCTGTCAGAATGCAGGCTTACTGCTGCTGTTAAATCCTTTCTACAAGATATGATTCTACCTTAAGGATTTAATTTCCTCCCTCGAGATACTTATAGATATATAAAATGCCAAGTGACTATAATTGTCATGATTTGAGGGAAAAGTAATTAACACATTGTAAAATTTAAATAATACACTGGCCAGACTATTTTTAAAACTGAAATTCAGTTTTTGTGTGTGTATCAGTGAGAGGAACTAGTTATTAGGACAAGGGCTAGAGTCGGCTATCTTTTTTGAGTCCTAAGACAACCTTGTTCAAGCTTTGATATAGTGAATTCTGTGAAAAAGAAACGCACCTAAATATCTATGCAACTCTTCTTTTAAAAATAAAACACTGGCCTGGCTGGCATGGCTCAGTGGTTGAGCATCGACCTATGAACCAGGAGGTCACTATTTGATTAACGGTGTGGGGTACATGCCCTGGTGGCGGGCTCGATCCCCAGTGGGACTGTTTCAATCTCATTACTTATAGCCTTTAAGATAGTAGTGTGGTATTAAGTCATCTTCAGATAACCAGAATACCTCATAAATCAGGTGTCTACCTCTTTAACAAGAGAGGACAGCATGAGAGGATCCTTAATGAACCCATTTTGAGATCAGTTCCTTTGCCATGACATTTAGAAAGTTCTAGTTATTTCCAGGGAAAGAAGAGCCACTCAGATAAACCAAACTGGTAAGACATGTCAATTTTTAGTGTATGTATTTGTACAGCCTTCTGCCTAATATTTGGCCTATACAACACTGAGTTAACAATTTTAGATTATAAGTCTCTGGAATAAAATAGTGTTTATCTAGTCTTGTTTGGCAACGTATGTCATGCACATGAGCTGGCTTAATTAATACTTTTAAATGAGATTTGCTCTCGGCTGTTTTTGTAGAATAGCACTATCTGGAAGGAAAGCTAGACTGAGACCTGAGAAACAGGAAGATGGTAAGGTAGGCTACAGTAGCTATTTCTCCTCTATCTTCTTATAACAGAACCTCTATTCTGTTTCCTGTTGGTAGGACTGTCAATCAAGGGTCTCCCTTCCTGAGTCATTAGCTGACACTATCAACTAGTTAACTCAGTTTCCTGGACACAGTGGCTGGTTGAAGAGCAGATGTCTCAGATAGGGTCAATCGGGGTCCTTTTCTCAGAATTTGATAGACATAAGGAGAGATGGGATTTCTCTTTTTCTGGATTGTGAAGCTACCAATGGTTATCTTTGGATGCCACATGGAGACAGAGTTCTAGAGCAAGAAGCCAACACAAAAGAAAATAGGACCTTGAGAATAAAGGTTCTATTTTATTAGAACCTGCACCTACCATGCCTGATTTATCCCTAGAGCTTTACAGTCAAGTGAGACAAACAAAAACATTTTTTTTTCTACAAAATTTAAGTTCATCAGAGTAGGTTTTACTGCTTACAATGAATGTTCCTCGCTCTTCTAATCTATGACCTTTAAGCAAGTCATTTTACTTTTTGGGTCTCTGATCCCTCATTTGTAAAATGAGGAGTTGGACTAAATCCTCTAATGTCCCATTTGGCTTGTAGAGTCTGTGCCTGAGTAACCTTCATTATTTAAAGAAAATATACGATTCTGTCATGTAAAAATTATAAGAATATAAATCTTTGGGTTTCTATTGCCTTAGGACATGTTTCCTCTGTAAGTGAGAGGTAAAGTACAGAAAACGAAAAGGGAACTGAGACATTTAAGTTTAGAACAATAACCAGAGGGATACAACATGCATTTCTCAAAATATACCATTTAAAACTGCCAGAATAACAGCACATAATAAGTTTGAAAGGCCTTTTAACAAGAGTAAAGTAGGCTTTGTTTTAAAGGAAGGAGTTGCAATATACTTCTTAAAAAAATGCATTACCTACTTTCATTACTTAGTGGTGTCATGAAACAAGGTATTTTACTTGTGCTGTGATATGGTTTAAATGCCATATCACAACACAAAAATTCCATTCTTAAGGTATTGGAAGTGAACAGATGCTTTGTGAAGTGAAATGGGCTTTCTTGTAATTGTGGGTGCTATTTTCATTGTTTATATGAAGTTTTAGAACTAAGGAAGATGATTCTCCAGATGAGCTGGATATCCCAGAAGGAAGGATAAAAAAGAACCTGGGGAAATGGGATTAAGTAATGTCTTGATAAAAAAGATCTTTGATGAGGGTGCTTTGGATTAAAGATGGGGTATGACCCTCCCTTATCTCTAGCTCCCCAGGCATATCTGCACACCCAGACTCCACACCATAATTTGAGAATCATTGGCTAAGGCAAAGAAGCCAGGCTTCTCTAGTCAAAGACAGCACCTTTCTTAGTAAAAGAAATTGTTGGCAACCTCATGTCATTCTTCAAAACTTCTGTTGGTTCTTTTCAATAAAATAATGCAAAAGTATGAGGCTCACTGAATGTGTAAATATCTCAGGCAAATTGACTGTAGCAGAGTTTGAAAAGACGAAAGGATACATGGTTTGTAAGATGTTTACAAGATGCTCAGGAAGTGTATTCTATGAGCTATGGATGCTCTAGAGTTTACACATCCTTAAGAATCAAGGTAAGGAACTAGGAAGGACCCCTAATGAAACTGGGTTCTTCTCTTTTCTTTTTTCTTTCCTCTCTTCCTTTCCATCTTCCCCCTCAACCATTCATCTACTGACCCACAATATTTATTTGATAATTACTAAGGACCAGAAACTGAGCTGGGTACTGGGACTAAAGCCAAGGATAAGTGAGATATGACACTGTTCCCTCTAAGTTTACGGTTTTCTAGAAAAAAAAAGATATTAAGTAAAAATGTCTACAGAAAACCATGTGCTATAGAAGGAATACTCTTATGAAGTTGGAATGATGCAATGGAAGGAGCAATAGATAAGGACAAAAATTCTACCTGGGGTTCTACTACTGTTTTGCTGAGTGTTCTGGGATAACCCTCTGAGTTTTAGATGTCTCACTCATCAACTCTATAAACATAATATATATTATTGTTCCTAGATTTGATCCCTACTCTGTTATTTGACTACAAATATACTAGTAGTATTTCCCAAACTGTGGTAGAGATTGCTTCTTTTTAGTAATAGAACCTTCCTCCCCCAAACTGAATTTTAATAAGGCACATATGCATGTCTACCCAGCTTAAGACTACATTTCCCAGCCTGCTTAAAATTTAGTTGTGGCCATGTGACAATGTCCTAATCAATGGAATGAATACATCTTCTGCATCACTTACACAAAAAGAAATCATTTGTCTACCAATCTCCTTTTCTTTTCCCTGTGGCCTGAAATGTGAACCAGGCACTGATGAATCAACCTTGACCAGTTAGACTCATATACAACACTATCAAGGTCAAAGATCAAAGGAAGCTATGTTCCTGGCCATTCACATGGAACAGAGCTTCCTACCACACCTAGACTTTCTGCCTACCTTTGGACTTCAACAAGAAATAGAAATAAACTTCTCTCTTGTTTGAGCTCCAGTATTTTCAGGTCTCTTTGTTACTGAAACTTAGCCAGGACCCAACTAATTTACAAACTCAAACATCTAGGGACCAGGAAGTCAACATAAATCAATGAATCATATAGGTGAGAACGGCTCAAACCTAGAAAACAAGTGACCTACCTAAAAGGGGTTTAACTGCTGCCACATGGCAATGAGGCCTAGGGTTTCCAATTCTACTAATTTATCAAGAAATCTGGATTCTCAAGTCAAATCTTCTAACATTTTAAAATATTAGAAACTAATCCAAATAAAAAACAAACAAACAAAGAACTGCAGGTTAAACAAAAATGCCTCTATATCAGACTCAAGCCTATGCCTGCCAATTTGTAACCTGTTCTCAATTATGACATAGTATTGAATGTAAGATGCACAAATATGCCATCATCTTAACAACTGCATTTTGGAATAACAACAGAATGCATTTACCACATCAAATGTATACACTGACTGCCAGAAACGTTTAATATAAAAATGTATATTTTTAGGATTAAAAAATTTTGACATGTTTTTATGACACAATTCTAAATATGAAAAACATCCCAGTTGATGATGATGAAAGTGTAGTAAAATGAGCCAAAATTCCTCAATCACCCTCAACTCTGCAATAGGAAGCATCTGGACAGCTTATAAAGCCAATAGCTGCAACCCACACAGTAACTAGATTGCAATGAACTCAAATCCCACACCCACATGATGATGCTATTAAGTGTGGCCTTTTATATCTTTTCCTTCATTTCAATATTGTGTAGCCATTCAAAAAGATACCTTACAGTGAACTTATTCCATGTTATTTGAACTAAATTACACAAAATAAATGTTTAGCATAAACATATTTAGCTAATAATTTTGACTAGGGGCTCATTTCAGCCACATCACTACACTGTGATCATCAAAGGTAAAGTTAACTTACTTCTGAGCTACAAAATAATTATGAAGACATTATATATAGAACCAACATCTTTCCAAAATATCTAATAATATGTCACATTGCCGAGTTGTCTTCTGTTGTTCCTTTACATCAATAAAAAAGAGCGCATAAACGTCAGCCTGAGGGAGGTAAGGCTGGGGGATGAGAAGAAGCACCCCAGAGCATCCATCAGTTCTATGGAGTATGACGCCCCTTGGCTGGCTGACCAATGGTAGAGTCAGAAGGTGGCTGCAAAAGTTGGTCTGATCCCAGTGCCCTAGCTAGTCCACTGAAAGTCAAATCAGAAGGCTCTGGAAGGGTGCCACGGATGTTCTCATACCGGACAATGCTTCAGTCCTCATTGATATTGCCCTAGACCAGTGGTCGGCAAACTGCGGCTCGCAAGCCACATGCAGCTCTTTGGCCCCTTGAGTGTGGCTCTTCCACAAAATACTGACTTCTGTGCATGGGCCACGAAGATTCAATCACGCTGTATGTGCGTGCCCGCATGTGGTATTTTGTAGAAGAGTCACACTCAAGGGGCCAAAGAGCCGCAGTTTGCCGACCACTGCCTAGACCCTGACTGATCTGTTCATTTTGCAAATGATCCAATTTATAGGGGAATTAAAGCATTTGAAATTGACTTTTCAAAATGGGTCATAGACAAATGCTGAAAATCAAGACACAAATAAGGAATTTCAAGTTTCTTTGTTTCTTAAAACACCTTCATTCTGCTGAGAATATTCATTCTATCAAAGGGAGCTCATGATTGTGTCTGATTTTAAGTGTCTGTCCAGAGTGAAGAACATAGAGAATATACACTTGGCCTTAGTCTTTTTCATTATTTGTAAGTTTACACCAGATGATTCTGTAGATTTATTTTGTTAATTGCTTTTTGTGTGTGTGTCTTTTTATTTGTTTGTTTGTTTGTTTTGTTTTTTACCTCTTTATATAGTCCAGTGCATTCATAATAGTCCCTGGAGGGGAGGCCAAGTCGAGGTTGGTCAATCTATAAAAAAATACACAAAAGATTAATATAAACCATTCAGTGGATATAGAACAAGACCACAGTGTTCTTGCTGTTTATAAGGGTAACAATCACACACTGAGTGAACACATAATTAGGAAATAGTTTTCACACTATGTCAAAGTATTAAACTGATGGCTGATAGATAATCTGGAAGATTGTGCTGCAGATAATTGAGGGGAAAAAACAAAGAAAAACTTGAACAGAAAATATACTGGTAAGGATTTTAACAGAACAGAAGGTGCAGGTGGACAAAAACATGTCAGAATCTAGGAGATAGGAGCTTCTAAATTACACATTTACAGGCCATTCTACTTCCTGAGATTCTAACATGTGTGCCTGGGGAACATTCTCTTCTACCCCAGCCCTTAAATGAGATGGAATAAAAATAAAAGGTGGGAAAGATATGAAATCTCTATGGTAAGTCTAGAACATTTTTAGCTACTATAATCTTGTCAGAGATTTCTTTTTTCTTTTTTGACATCCTATGGCCTAGGCGCAGCCGTGGGCAAACTACGGCCCGCGGGCCGGATCCAGCCCGTTTGAAATGAATAAAACTAAAAAAAAAAGACCGTACCCTTTTATGTAATGATGTTTACTTTGAATTTATATTAGTTCACACAAACACTCTATCCATACTTTTGTTCCGGCCCTCCGGTCCAGTTTAAGAACCCATTGTGGCCCTCGAGTCAAAAAGTTTGCCCACCCCTGGCCTAGGCAGTGCTCGGCAAACTCACTAGTCAACAGAGCCAAATATCAACAGTACAACGATTGAAATTTCTTTTGAGAGCCAAATTTTTTAAACTTAAACTATATAGGTAGGTACATTGTTATTAACTTAATTAGGGTACTCCTAAGGCTTAGGAAGAGCCACACTCAAGGGGCCAAAGAGCGCATGTGGCTCACGAGCAGCAGTTTGCTGACCACAGGTAGGGGAATGGAGGAGACACCTCCTTGGTTCTCTCCAAAGCTGCTCTGCTCTGGACGTCAGCAGACGCCGCTGAGAGCTAAGTGTGTAAAAGACAAACTCAGGTCTGCTCTGTGGTGTCCAGTCCATCTTCATACCCTGTGAGAGCGCTACCTGGACACACTCGCAGCTCTGTGAGAGCGCTTCCTATGCACTGCATGGTAAGAAGGTGGGTACAAGGGAAGCTTTTGAGTGAAATGTCTTCAATGATCAACTAAACTGAGTTTGACATTATCAATCATTGATAAATATTTCTTGGTTTATTATTAATAATAAAATATTTTGAGCCATTGAAGATTAAAAAAAAAGAAAAAGAAAAAATGGTGGATACAGGGCCCATCCAGAGCATTGATGGGTTAAAGTGAGAATCCTCGCAGGAAGAGCCAATTCAGCACAAAAGAAACATCACCCAAAGGGCTGGATGGAAAGAGCCAAAACACATATCCAGAAGAAGGGCCCTGCTCCTTCTCCAACCTTCTGATCCTCCTTAAAAAAAGCCCTCATGCCCAGCTGGTGTAGCTCAGTGGTTGAGCGTCGAGCCAGGAACCAAGAGGCCACTGGTTTGATTCCCAGATGCACTTTTCGGGGCATGGAGGAGGCAGCTTATTGATGATGTTTCTCTCTCATTGATATTTCTATCTCCCTCCCTTCCTCTGTCTTTAAAAAAAATCAATAAAATATATACTTTTTAAAATGTTCTTATGATGATCATGCAGGATACTGACACTTGAGAGCCCAAAAGAGAGAAGAGAGTCAGATTAAATATCTTTCGTGACTTTAACAAATAACCATGAATATTTATGCAATAGTGACATAAATATGATTCTGTGACCTGCAACTTTTGAGTTAGTTTATGTTATAGGAGACAAAATAAAAGCTTTATAAATTTTTTAGTCTGTTCCAAACACACTCATTAAGTATAAATCCCATTTTAAGTGACACCTTAGATAAACCTAATTGAATGGCTTACATTTAAAAAAAAAATAAAAATCCAGCCCTAGCTGGTTTGGCTCAGTGGATAGAGCATTGGCCTGTGGACTGAAGGTCCCAGGTTCGATTCCAGTCAAGAGCACATGCCCAGGTTGGGGGCTTAATACCCAGTTGGGGGTGTGCAGGAGGCAGCCGATCAATGATTCTCTCTTGTCATTGATGTTTCTATCTCTCTCCCCCTCTCCCTTATTTTCTGAAATCAATAAAAATATATTTTTTAAAAATCCAGAAGGAAAGGGGAGTGGGGAGTGGGGGCAGGTAGAGGAGGGTATGGGGGGATAAATGGTGATGGGAGGAGACTTACTTGGGTTGGTGAGCACACAACACAATGTACAGATGAGATATAAAATTGTACACCTGAAACCTGTATAATTTTATTAACCAATGTCACCCCAATAAATTCAATTTTTAAAAATCTAACAAAGCCATCTGGAAAGAATGGCATCTTATTTACCTTAATTGAGAAAAAAGTATAGATATTCTTTAGCGAGAACCACATTGTGTTCAAAATCCCTTCTCTATGTTCTTTTTAAAGGCAATTAGGAAATCTGGTTTCCAGACCTGCAAAACTATGTAAACCAGACCACACTGGTGAACATACAGAGAAACCAGGTGCTTTTTCTAAGTAGGAGGAGCCTAAAGATTTTCATTTCTTATTTATTTTATGAAAGGAGAAGTATTTTAAAAATGGAGGCAAAAAGGAGAGATGAACGTCTATAACCCAGCATGAAGAAAACATTTTCAAAATATACTGGGGAATCCAGATATCAGGGATGGAGCATCAATGTATTACCTCCTTGCCCATGCAATTCAAATGAGAATGGGCGTTATTTCTAAGTATTAATAACAGTAACGTGTGTGGAAGTTTTATTACAATTTAAAGATAACTTTGGCTGACAGCCATGCAAACTTACATGAATTATATATTTCGAAGAGTTTTTATCATCAGTGCCAACAAAAAAATTAATAATGACTTTTTTCCCATATTTAGCATTCAGTTGTGCCATAGCCTTCTCAGCTGTCCAAGAAGTACCTAAAGCAATGAAAGGTGAAGTACATCTTTAGAAACTTCAGTGCAGTAACATGATACACAGCATAATAATAACATAGATTTTTATTGGAAATTTTTTCAAACGAAGAAGGAACGCTGCCTTACCATATACTTGCTCCCAGTCTTCCGTGGCTACTGGCCATTCATATATATCTGGTAACACTTTGAGTAGAGGTCCGCCACCTCTGCTATCAATAATAGCTTTAGAAAGCAATGAAAATAAATGTATTAAGAAGTCTATGCATATTTTGACACACTCTTGATGAAATAGAGTGAGGAGCACTTACATTCATTTATGCACGATCTGTACAATGTTTTTGCTTTCTGCACTGCTGCTATATCATCAGATTTGGGTTCCTGAAGGACATCTGAAATGGGGCAGTTAATAAAATGCATGAATATAATCGCTCATTGGCAGCTGTAATGAACATTTTCAACACAGGTTCAGTAACAAACTTGCTTCTTTGTATGTATGTTCACTCCGTTCCCCTGCCAAAAACCCTACAGGGGAAAACCAGCCCCCTTTCCTAATCATTATTCCTAGTGCAGGACTGGGAGTTAGTTTCATTGGCCGAGTTACATGAAAGTGTTTTCAACTAGATTATCGTGTGTGTGTGTGTGTGTGTGTGTGTGTGTGTGTGTGTGTGAACAGTGATGTGTATTGCTCTGCCACAGAAAAGTTACTTTGGTTTCACACTGAAATAAAAAGATAATAATAATAATACAGAGGAATTTGGAACTTAATATGATAGTCCTCCTGATGGCTGGAAACAATTCTGTTAGTGTGATTTTACTGTTCAGGCTCCCAATACATTGAACAAATTGTTCTACTTGTAGGGATGTCAGAAAATAGCAAAACTCGTTCTACAAAGTAACTTTTAGAGGAGAACAAAAGATAGAGGATAGTAGGGGACTAGATATGACTTTTTCAAATTCCCAGAGAGAGTGTGTTAAGCTGGGTTAGACGTTTTATAGTGACGTCAACACAGGGTCGGGGTGGGAAAACTAGGGAGGTGGTGGTTAGTGGAAATCACTTAATTTCTTCTTCTGTATAATGGCATAAAGATGCCATCTCTAGAAATAGTAGGGTTATTGTTTGTGTAGCTACAAATGAAAGCAGGAATGCTAAGAGATGCCAACATATCCATTTCAGTGTCTACCACCCTCAGCATGACTAAGTGGTGGTTCCACAAAACTTGGAGGGATTACGACTTTAATCCTGCGCATGTTCCCCATAAAGGCCAAGTGTTGTATCTTTAAATATGGATAAATTAAGAGAGAAATCTTGGATGCACAGACACAAACTTCACTAACCTTTCAAAATGACTTCTAGTTCATCTCTTAAAATGTCAAAGTTACTGTAGCGGGAGCTGGTCTCAGGAATGACATGGCGTTTCAACCAGCCTCCACAGGCGTATTTGAAAAAGTCGGAACAAGGCTCGGTAGTGGGATCCATGTTCTGGATGAGTCGAGCAGCTGAAGGACCAGACAAGTGAGACAAAACAAAGGGTGTGTTTCTTTAGTTTGGAGGAGGGGGAAAGGTATGTTGCTTCCACCTTATGAGCAAGTCAACTGGCCTGATGCTCCTTTTTCTCAGATATAACTGTCAGTTCAGAGTAGAATGATGAATATTATCTATGGATAGTCCTCCTTTACCACAGTTGATTGGTTTTATTCTTGAAAGGTCTGAGGCCTTCCATCCTACATCTCACCCCCTCCCTCAAATAACTTAGGTTCTTGCTAATTCCCATCTCAGATGAAGAACCACATATAGGTCAGCCTCGGCTGTCCTGGGCTTGGAGTTAATACAAGGTTAGTCTTCATCCTGACAATTTGAGCTGATGACTCTGCCTTCAAGGAGCTGTGCCTTTTGAATGTCTCTCAAACTCCAAGGGATGAGGGATTGTTAATGGGTTTGATCATTGTAGTCAAGATCTGAAGCTACATTTACTACTTCTTGAACCTTGCTTACACAATTTTTGCAATTCAAATTTGACATCACATTTGCATTTGTTTATGTAGAGTATGTCATTAAGCTCATTAGTGTTTCTTATGTCCACTCTTTTATCTTTGAGCACTGCAATGAAGATGCAAATCAACCAACACCACGGCGTACTTACAATGTACAAAACACTGACTGTGCTAGGTGCTGCAATGGATAGAAAGATGCACAAAACATGAATTATTTCCACTGCAGGAAAGAATCATGGACAGGAGGCCTAATGCCCACAATCTCTCCACCTGGAATAGTGAGAAAAACCTTCCCACTGCTCTCTGCATGTTCTTTCTTTCTCAGACAAGGTGAACTGTTTTGCAAAGAAAACAGGAGAGCAATTGAGAATTCATCTGTATCAAGAGAGTACAAGTTCTCAAATGAGCTTCTGGAAATACTTCAGTGTCTGACTAAAATCATTTCATTAAAAACTTCACACAATTGCTGTGCTGTGAGGGAATATTTCAACTTGGAATGGTAAGTCTGTTTTCCAGCTGAGCCTCGAACCCCCCACTTCTCACCACCATATGGACCCACTCACCAGCTTGGCTGCCATCTCAGGCTCCAACTCTCTGGGTTGCCTCCAAACCAGTTCTCCCTGGACTTTTAGTCTTTGATATATAGGACAATTGTTTTCACAGCCTCCCAGGTTTGAACCTTGGGTAAAAGTCTATTTCTCCCAGGACCTTGACTTACTGGGAATAATTTTGTCTATTTTCTATATTCTTTCCATGATCAATGTCAACCTAGTTTATCTTCATTCTCTTCTGACTAAAGGTCACCCAATTATTCACCTTCCTAGTACTATCTCCTTACATGTATACATTCCACAGTTTCACAGATTAAACTTTCCAAAAAATACCCTTTAGCACAGGCCACTCCCTTGCTCAAATGTCAGTGGCTTCACAGTAGGTTGGTTAAATTACAACTCCCTAATTTGGCCTCTAAATCTTTACTGGACCAACCAAATCTCCACCTTCCCCCCTTTCCCTCTCTGCACTTTTATACAAACTCCTGCTCCAATCAGATGGGCTTGCTCCGTGGATCGCAAATACCTGTGTTTCCCTACCCTGTGCCTTTGCTTCTCCCCTGATCCCACCCACCTTACCCTTTTAACTCCTCCCATTCTCTTCACATTCTATCCACTATCCAAGATTCAGCTATGTCCCATCTCTTTCCTGAAGCTTCCATTATTCCAAACTTCAGGGAATTTTTCGTTCTCTGAACTGAGAGCTCATGGCCTCAATCAGTCTTTTATGATTAGATGAAGCTACATTGGGTTTCTCATGGTAGTTACCTATCTGTCTTCATAACCATTCTGATGATGAACCTAACCTCTTTGTATTCCCATCATCCAGTACCTCAGTAAAACATGTGCAAGTATGTTTGTGTGGCAATATTCCCGAATCATCTATGAGTCCTGTAACTCCTTCCTCCTCCACATCCCCTCCCCCACTCTGCACGTCAGACCAATTCTCATTTCACAAGCTCCAGAGTCCATCCCATCCTTCCAATTCCCACCATTTCCATTCTCTTTCAGACCTTACCCCCCCCCCCCCCCCCCTCCCCCCATCCTTCTCTCAGGCTCTACTTTTGCACTTTCACCCAAACTATGGCCCCAGGCTTCTCTCCATGCCACCCATTCTGTGTGCCAGTCAGATTAACTGTCATAACAATTCAGCATACCATTTTCCACTCCCACGGTCTCAATATAACCCTTTTGCATTCCTAATAAATTCCAGATCTCACAGCATATTCTGACCCTATTATATCCAGTGAGGCTTCTCTCTCATTCCTTCCTCACATGAGCCAACTGCCTCAAATAAATGAATGTACTGAGTTTCTGCTGTGAAAGACCTTATAGTTTTCCTGTTTCCACACCTTTGACCATGTTGCCTCAACTTCTACTAAAATACCCTTTCTCTATTTTTCCACATTTAGAAATTTCAGGCATTTTCAAGGCCCAGTTCAAATCCTCCTTCTTCACGAAGGATAATCCTTACAAAGCTGGCATCAGCTGGCATCACATTAGTTATTTGTTGTTGGAAAATCCATATCTCCTCCCCTTTACTGTGGGTTCTGGTAAAGGAGGAAATGCATATCCCAGTTCTCATGGAGCCTAACATGGTGCTCAATCCAGACTTGTCAGTAAAAACGTTAACTTGAAACCCCAGGTAAAGATTAAAAAATTAATCTAAAAAAAGTGGAGAGAAAGGTAATCCCCTTGAACTTGAAAGGAAATGAAGAAACGATGGCAGGGGAAACAAAAATATAGATTCTAAAAACATAGAAGATTATCATGGAAAGAGAAAAACAAAACAAAAAACTGAAGCCTGAAAGAAGTGCTAACTACGATGTTCTAAGCACACATTTTTAGCAATTTTATGTAACTCTTGTCTTTCAAAACACTTTTAAAAATTTAACCTGAATGTTGTAAAGGCTACTGCCATTTGGGGAGCCCTTCTATTTTCTTTCCTTCTCTAGGGCAATGGATGGTTTATGTTCTAACACCATAAAGAGCAGTAAACTCCCAGTAGGGAGAGCCGTGAACAAGCAATGAATGAGTAGAATGAGCATGTCTTATTGCCTCTTTGGAAATACCACATGCCCTTTTAAACACCGGGAACAAAAAGGAGGAGTGGTGGTTGCAGAGCTATTATGCTCATGAGTGCAAACCCACTGCCATGTGCATGCTTCCGTTACTTCCCTAATCTCCCACAAGGAACAAAGACAACCCTTCTCCTCTTAGGCTAAATTCCTCACTTCATACCCAGTACAGTTCAACTACTTACATCTGGACAACAAGCCAAAGAAGCAGCATTCAAACAATTTGTGAGGGATATGCAGACAAGAGAGAGGAAGAGACAACTTTGCAAACTCCTTCCTGTGCCCCTTTTTAAATATCCCTTTGACCAGAGAGCTCATCTGGGTATGGGCGCTTCCAATCACTTCAAAGAGAACTCTCTGTTCTGATGAGTATTTTGGGGCCATGGGCCAACGCAAGTCAAGGGCTAGCAATTTTATGCTGGGTCTTTGATCAACCTTCCTTTAATCTCTTATCGTGGGTCTGATTCTGGTTTTGCACCTTATCCTCCGGACCTCCTCTGTGCTGACTTTTCTTTGAAGTCAGCGGTAGACGTGTGGGTAGAAGGGCTGTAGGAAACAGACACACGACTGTCAAACTGGTTGTAATTGTTTTTATATTTTGCACTTTGTTTTGAATTACTCAACCTCTCTACAGAGCCACACCTGGGCTCTTCAGATGTTTCCTTATCTGTGGGTCTGTGACTTCTGAGTAAACAAATGTGGTTTAAAAACAAAATTATTCACCTTAATAAGTAGATATAAAAATGGATGTAGTAAAGGCAAATGTACTGATGTGGAGTGCTGTTGACCAGATGTTTGTAAGGTGAAGGAGAGAGTACTAGTATACTAGGATTTTTAAAAACCTGTATAAAAGCACAGAAAGCCTAGAGGGCATTTACAGCAGTTATATGCAGGTGGAGGGAATATGAGTGTGTTTAATTTTGTGTTATTTGCTTATCTTTATTTTCCAATTTGTATTAGATGAACATGTATTGCTTTCACAATAAGAAAAAAAAAGTCTATTTTTAATTGAAGAAAATAGTCACATAAAGACAAGAAAAAGTAATCTTCTATTAATAATGAGCTTATTTCTTGTGAATGACAATTCTGAATTTTCTAGACTGATAATAAATGACACACCATTATTTTCCAAACTAATCTTCTTGTAACATTCTCCCAACTTATTTGACTATAAGAATTTAAAAACAAGCTCAACTACCATCTGGGAAGTTATTAATTGCTGTATTCATTACCAAGGGTCTGTCGTGTGGGTATGGATTAGGGAAATGTTTGGGGTGCTTAAATCAGGCAGGCCTGCTTTGAATTCCTGAGCATTACCACTCTAGTTCTACAGTAGTCCTCCCTTACCTGTGGTTTGGCTTTCCATGGTGTCAGTTACATACAATTAACCACAGTCCAAAAGTATTAAATAGAAAAGTCCAGAAATAAACAATTCATAAGTTTTAAGTAGCACACTGTTCTGAATAGCATGATGAAATCTTGCACTACCATGGTCCATCTTGCCCAGATGTGAATCATCACTTTGTCCGGCATATCTATGCTCTATATGCTCCCCACTTGTTAGTCTCTTAGTAGCTATCTCGGTTATCAGATTGACTATCCCGGTATCTCAGAGCTTATGTTCAAGTAGCCCTATTTTACTGAATAATGGCCCCCAAGCACAAGAATAGTGATGCTAGGAATTCAGGTATGCTAAAGAGTAGCTGTAAAATGCTTCCTTTAAGTAAAAAGGTATGATGTGTGTACGTATAGGAAAAACATAGTATCTATAGGGTCTGATACTTATCTGCAATTTCAGGTAGCCATGGGAATCTTGGAACATATCCCTCATGGATAAGGGTGGGTGACTGTACAAGATTAAGTAATTTTCCTCAAA